GAATTTGAGATTAAAAAATTGTACCATAGTGAACATATGGTTTGTGATCATTGATTATAGTGGGCTTCACATGAAGTTGATATAGCCGCTGTCAGTGAGGATTAAAAAATGAGTGCTCTAGAGCTTATAAAATCTGTAAATGATTTTGATGTGTGAGTTCAAGCATGAATCAAAATATAAGAATGTCAGAGCTTATAACGTATGACGTAATTGTTTTTACATTTCGTCAACAATTCTAATTAATCATATATATATATATATATATATATATATATATATATATATATATATATATATATATATATATATATATTTATATATATATTTATATGTATATATATATTTATTTATATATATTTATTTATATATATATTTATGTATATATATATATATATATATATATATATATATATATATATATATATATATATATATATATATATATATATATATATATATATATATATATATATATATATATATATATATATATATATATATATATATATATATATATATATATATATATATATTTATATGTGTGTTACGGTCAAAGTGCGAAATGCGTCCAAAGCGCGCATTGGCCGGCTCTCTTGGCCAAAGCCCGAAGAACTTAGCACTAAGATCGTATTTCGTACATTGGCCGGCCAATGCGCACACTGGCCGGGACGTACTGGCCAAAGTCCGAAGCGCTTAAACTTGACAGCGTATTTTGTACATTGGCCGGCCAATGCGCGCACTGGCCGGGATGTCCTGGCCAATGTTCTATCTAGACTAAGTTGTGATCGCGGTTTCATTATTCTGGGTGCGGTTTCATTGTGAGTAACGTATTGTTTAGCTCTTGTTTGTATAGCATTCTTTATGCAAGGATCAAAAGGGCCGTCAGACCATGAGACAGACATAGCAGATGTCTCTCAAAAGAAACAAATGTAAATTCATGTTAGTTTCCATATATGGGCTCTCGATAAAATAGTTACTGAGGAAGATCTTGAGGACATTGAACAAGAAATGGAGGTTGCCATAAATGCAACGACATCCTCGAGGGCGGTTTCTACAAATTAGGAACGGAACATGGTGTTCTAAAACAACTGTATGCTAGAAGTGAGTTTTCAATTGTTCACGAAAAACTGCTCTTATTGTCGTCAGTTGGCAGTGAGGAAAAATCACTACGAACCATCGCATCTTCACAATCATTGACTGGGCGCCAAGGCTACACTCGCTGCAATTGCACAACTAAGTGCACAACAAATCGCTGCAAGTGTAAAAATAACAAGCTGCTATGTAATGCTAAATGCCTTAAAAGTTCAACTTGTTGTAACAAATGATGATATTGATTGATTGAGACTGTGGTACAATAAAAAATTTGAATGTTTCTGTCATTTACTTTAATTAATAATCAATAAAGACTTAATTTCATGATCCTTACGGCATAAAAAAAAACCAAAATCTGCTCATGATCTTCTAATTCGGACTTTGGCCGGTCGTCCCTAGCCAGATGATCTTCTAATTAAGACTTTGGCCGGTCCACCATGGCCAGTCCGCGGACTGGCCGGCCAAAGGCCGAAATCAAGCAAAGTTTCGGACTTTGACCGACCTATGGGAGGCGATATTGGCCAATGCGCGCATTGGCCGGCCAATCCGCGCATTGGCCGACTTCGGGCTTTGACCGTAACATATACATTCATATGTCAAGAAGTAATTTAATAATACACAATTCAAGCAAATACTCAACCTCAACTTCAACCTCCACCAAAACGTACTGCTAAAACTCAAACCTAAAACTAAACCGAAACCTATGCATTGGCATTGGCATTAATCTAAACTTGACTTTACCCTACACTTCAACCTTAACGTCAACCTCAACACCAACATCAACACCAACATCAACCTGAACGAGAACCCGTATTCGAAATCGTACCTCGGCAAGAACCTGAACCCTAAAAGAAAGCTTAACCTTAATTAGTAACCAAACATTAACCTAAACCAGAAATTGAACCCAAACCTGAACTCTATTCCACCTAAACCTAAATTTAAACCTAAACCTAAACCTGAACCTTAACGTTAACTTGAAACCCTAACCCATACCTATCCATATTTTAACCCTTAACCCTAATCCTGAGACCAAGCCAGTGCCAACTGTACCACGGATGATATAAGATCAATCCATTTTCGGTTATATCAAAGATTGGAGTAGCCTTAGCCAATATAGCTACACCAATTAGGGGAATACAGGTAGTCAATATAAGCTATATCAAAGATAAGATAAGACAAACCTATTCTAACTGAACCAAAGATGGGATAGATAGAAACCTTTAACAACGACAAACTGTTCAACACATTTTCATTTGCTGTTAGACAATGTGCCTTTATCGATCTCCCACTATTTGTTTGTTAATGTAATCCTAGAACATGAAATAAGATGTTTAAAAGCAGATATTAGAAAACTTGGCAAGCAAACACGTTAAGCTTGTACGATAAGTTAGGATTATGTAAGAGAATATATGGATTTGTGCTGGTAAATACAGATAAAGGTTATTAGAGCTAGGGATGGGGTAAAAAAATCAAGATGCTGACAAATTAAAGTTAACGTGGTTGCATCGTATAGGTCGTAATTTCATTGATTTATTGCAGAGGTTCTTAATCCTTCTTAAAGTACCAAACTCCACCACTCCCATATTCTAATTCATCGAACTGTATTAATAGTTCTATCATTTGCACTTACGAAATCTGATCGAGAATCATTTGAAAAACAAGTTAATAAAAAGTCTAGTGACAATTTCCTTATGTTATCCATAACAATTTTAAATCGAGATAAATCATATATTCAGCAAATAAATAATGCAACACAAGTAATTTTAATAATTCAAAACAAAATAGAAACCAGTATGGAAATTGCGCTAAAAAAACAACTATATTAACCTATATCAACGGAAATAGTTTTATTTTAACGAGTAGGCCTACACGATGCTCAGTTTAAACATCATCCTAGGCCTACACGATGCTCAGTTTAAAATATATTTTAAAAAATATTGTGACCGAACGAAAGGATATTTTTGAAAACTTTCTTCGGCAATATTGTTCTAAATTATGGCAGGAATCGATTGGTAAATGTTTCAATTCGCTAAGTTGTCTGGTTGCCGAGATATGGGCAAAAAAACTGCATGTTTTCGAGGTTTTTTTGGCTTTCCGGGAAATCCAGGAAGGAATTCCGGGAATTTTTTTGGCCCACAATCATCCTCGGAACGTGCTTAACATATTTGCTTTGGAACTAGTCCTCGATATTGCTTCGTTGAGCAGGAGATACGGCTTAAAGCTGCGGACACACATCCATTCATTCATCCATCCAGAAATGACGAGTTAATAATCGCAATTGTCCGTATGGAAATTGCGCTAAAAATAAAAAGTCAGTTTTGTGTTTTGACCTACGTCAAACCCATAAAACTGATTCACCAAACCCCTGGAGTTCGATTGAACCCAGGTTAAGAACCACTGATCTATAGTTTTAAAGATGTGGATATCTGAAAACCTTTTCAGCTACAGCTGTCTGCGAGAGATTACTTGAGAGACTTCATCACACAAAGGCAGCGTGTCAGGGGTTCCCAAGATTTTAGATAAAACATTTATCAATTTTTTTTTCCAACCAGCTAGTTTGATTTTTACTTGCCTGGATGTTTCAAAGTATTTTATCAAATTTGTTGTTCTTTATCAACTATTCAACAATTTCCGGTATGCGAAAGTAATTTTTTTTCATTTTTATGGTTTTTCAAAAGTCTATAACTTGAGTACTGTTTCAGTGAGATAGACTAAATTTTACTTATAACTCAATTCTAGTTTTGAGTAATTCACGGTGAAAGGAAGTAGTATTTTACGCTATTTCTGATTTCTCAAAAAAAAAAAAACCGTTTGAAAATTTATTTTTTAACTTGTTTGCTTTGTTCTGTGTAAGTTACGATCTGAAACTTGAGAGCTTAACTTCGAACTCTTCTATCGGACCTATTTAATTCAAACTTTTCACATAGGTCTAGACTCGTCGGCAATGTATTGTGACAATTTTTTTGTATTAACTCTTTGAAAATTAATGAATTTTTTCTTTTTATTAAGTTCTAATGTTCTGCACTTATTTACACACATTGTTTGCTGTTTATTTGGTGCAGTGTTTGCTGTCTATTTTTACGCGATTCTATTCTATTTAAAAATGTAAAAAAAAAAATTATAATTTAAAAAAATTGATTTTAGAAACATGTCCATGTCGCGATTACACTGGAGTTGCTTTCCAACTCAGTGTTATATTAGAATATTGGAGAGAGTTTAGGGGAGCTCATTCCCGCTTTATTTTAAAAGATGACGTATCTATAGGGTAATTGAATTGGCGGCGAGTAAAGTTTTAGGGAAAGAAAATCATACACCGTAATTATTAAATAGTTTCAGGACTGTGGCACACACATACAAACTCGTATGTATATATATATATATATATATATATATATATATATATATATATATATATATATATATATATGTATATATATATATATATATATATATATATATATATATATATATATATATATATATATATATATATATATATATATATATATATATATATATATATATATGTGTATATATGTATGTATGTATGTATGTATGTATGTATGTATGTATGTATGTATGTATGTATGTATGTATGTATGTATGTATGTATGTATGTATGTATATATATATATATATATATATATATATATATATATATATATATATATATATATATATATATATATATATATATAGCTAAATAATTAATATGCCATCCACACCTGAGCTTAAGAAAAAAGAAAAAAAATGCATTTTAAATAGTTAAAATGTGGTTACTGTTTTTATAGTCCCTAAAAGGTTAACGCAGGCTGTACAATAATGATGGTCATGAAACGGTTAACACCTGCAGTCGTCCTATATAATTTTGGACATCACGACGACGCTGTACCAGAAGTGTTTTGCCACCTAGCCAGATTTCTTCGTTGTTTAACAGTTCCAAAATGTTCAAACTCGTCTTGGTTTTTTCTCTTTGTTACATCGCTGCAGGTCAGTAGCTTTAGAAAAAAATTTCGTTCTAAATGTTCTCTTGCTGTAATGACATTCAGGTTGATTACATTTTATTTTAGTTACGCTAGTATATACATTTTGCTATTATTAAAAGGCTTTCGTAATATTCGTTAATTATTTCCGAAGATTGCAATTTTAGAAATTATGTTGTCTTTAACAAAAAGAATTTTTATTTGCTGGACAATATCGCCGAGACTGAAGCAAAAAAAAAAAAAAAAATTAGACAAAAAAAAAACATGTCAAATTTTTTAGAGTGTAATGATGCAGCCTATGTAATGCAACATATGATTGTATATTTTTTATGTTACTGTTTTATATACAATTTCTTAAAACGTTAACCAAATTCATATATAGCTTCATAATAAAGTTACCTATAGAAAAAACGAAAGCCGCAGCATTGAATTAAAATGTTTGTTTGAAATGTGTTCAATACTTATTGCCACAGGTCAAAATATATTTCGAAAGTTATTAAATTTCAGCACAATGTTATACTTTTATTTCCGGCATCATATATTAATGTTATATTCCCCCCCCCCTGTGGTGTTCTGGCTCAATGATTGTTATTCACCCCCCCCCCCCCCACTCCGTTGCGTCCTAGATTGCAGACATCTGAAACGAAGTTTCGGCTGTGATAGTGCCTTAGCATGTATCGGAAGTTATAGACAAGATAACTCAGAGAAACTCAGCATCGAACAGTATTGTGAGTAAGTGGCGTGTTTGTTTTTTTAAATACTATTTACAACGTCAGTGGTCTCCGGGTTTTATTTTATTTTCGTTGCTGAAACATGGTTTATTCGTTATTAGCTCCCTCTATTCTCTGTCCTGACTCTCTCTCTCTCTGTCCTGTCCTGTCCTGTCTCTCTCTCCCACTCTCTCTCTGTATAATATATATATATATATATATATATATATATATATATATATATATATATATATATATATATATATATATATATATATATATATATATATATGTGTGTGTGTGTGTGTGTGTATATATATACATATTATATATATATATATATATATATATATATATATATATATATATATATATATATATATTTATATATATATATATATATATATATATATATATATATATATATATATATATATATATATATACATACATATATATACATATATATATATATATATATATATAAATCGTGCAGATAAAAAACAAATTTAAATGTTTAGAACAAAGAAATTAGTTAACTATGGCACATAATTGCATAGGTCTACAGACATCTGTACTCTCCACGATTCAAGCCTATTAGCTATTGGACTCATGTTAGGTATCCCATCTCCCTCCAACCCAGAACACAAACCCTCAGGATATTATAGTGTGCTCTCTCTGCGGCTCTATTATTCCCCAGATCTTTGTTAGAAATAATGCGCCTTTTTATAAATATTTACTTAAAAGTAGTAGGTTAGTTTGCAATATTCATCACGTTAGTGCTATGCCAGTGTTTAGCTAAATTTAATTATTTTTTTAAGTATAGATCATCATCATGTACAAATACGCCAAACGTTTGAGTATTTTGAAATAAATAGCAGTTAATATGAACAAAAATATATTAATACAAATTAATACAAATTGATATACAACTTTCCAGGAGAGCCAGAGCCGCCGTCTCCTGTTACCTTCATGTTGAGGACCAATGCGACGACAAAGATCTCAAATATAACATTAGCTCTCAGCTCAACTTCGATGATTTTATATGTTCGGACCACAGCGGTAAAAAAAAATTAAATTTTCTGTCGACAGGATATAGATCGAAATGAGATTTTTAATTGTCATTTTTAGCGCAATTTCCATTCTGGAGAATTGCGTTTATTAACCCGTTATTTCTGGATGTATGAATGTATGGATGTGTGTTCGCAGCTTTAAGTCGTATCTCCTCCTCAACGAAGCAATATCGAGGACTAGTTCCAAAGCAATTTTGTTAAGCAAGTTACGAGGATGATAGTGGGCCAAAAAGTTCCGGAATTCCTTCCTGGATTTCACGGAAAAGCCAAAAAACCTCGAAAAAAATGCAGTTTTTGGCCCATATCTCGGTAACCAGACCACTTAGCGACTTGAAACATTTACCAATCGATTCCTGCTATAATTTAGAACAATATTGCCGAAGAAAGTTTTCAAAAATATCCTTTCGTTCGGTCACAAATTTTAAAATTACATAAACACCTACAAACCGATCGTTCTCTTAGCTTGAATGCACCCCAGCATTATACGTCAGAGCTATTTTTAGATAACATAAGAATTGCGCATAAATGTCACTAGACTTTTTAATTAACTTGTTTATCTTGAAAAATCCATAAACAAATCTAAAGCTTGTTGAACTCTATTTCTCCAAGTGCGATTATCTTTATATTCTTCATCCCCTTTTTTTTTCTCGTATACGAAGTACAGAGGACGTATTGTAATCGTGCAAAAAAAAAATCATAATTGAAATTTTCACAAATCTAGACGTTTTAGACCTCTCTGAGTAGGAACAACTTAATTTTGCAATCTTGTGTGTGTGTGTGTGTGTTTGTGTGTGTGTGTGTGTGTGTGTGTTTGTGTGTGTGTGTGTGTGTGTGTGTGTGTGTGTGAATGTGTGTGCATGTGCCTGTCTGTCTCTGAACGCGATAATATGAGTACCGCGACATGCAGCTAGGTTGTCGTAATTTCATACATAAGTAATATATCAAATTTATAGTTCTGTATCAACTTTTGAGCGATTTCCGATAACCAGAAATGGAACTAATTCCACTTAAAGTTTTTCAATAGCCTATAAATTAAGTTTTGTTTCTATTATATAGAAATTCTAGATATGTTGATCTAATTCTTTGTTTACAAATACATCTTGAGTAATTCCCTGTGATCGGAATTAGTACTTTACTCTCTTTTCGATACATTAATTTTTAACTTGATTCCTCTATCTCTCTTTACAAAGTGCTAATGTTCCGTACTATTATACACAGATTATTTGCTGTTAATTAGGTGCGCAATTCTTTTTCTACTAGATTCTATTCTCTTTTTTTTTTTAAGTGTAGTTTCTTGGCTTCATAGTCTTCAGCCTAGTCAAATTCCAAAATACGAGAAAATTATTTATTTGTTGTTCAAAATTCAAATGGAATCTGTTTCATGAGTTTGAAAGAGTAGAATATAAAATATAATTTTGATATAAATAAAATGCAACTTTTAAAACCACAAAATAACTCCCTTAAACAGCTGACTGTGTGCGTGTGGGTTTGTGTGTGTGTGTGTGTGTGGGTGTGTGGGTGTGTCTGTGTGTGTGTATGTGTGTGTGTGTGCGTGTGTGTGTGTGTAACGTTGCACAATACGCTTTGTTTCTTCTCGATTCCATTTTCAGTTATGTTAGTTAAGCCGAACTTCAGATATTCTTCTAAATATTTAGTTGTTTTTTTTTTAATGCTAGGGTTTAGTCTACCAGTTGTCGAACCCCCCCCCCCCAGAAAGCCCTTAGCGACCCCTCAGGATAGCGACCCACAGTTTGGGAACCCATGCTCTAGGACAGCGGTCTCCAAACTACGGCCCGCGGGCCGGATGCGGCCCTCGAAGTCCTCTCATCCGGCCCGCGGAGATCTTTTTGTCCAAGGAAAAATCGTTTGTTGGTGATGGCTGAGGAACTTTGCCCAGAAAAATCAAAGACATGCCTGGAAGAAACTGGTTCCCGAACTGAAATTTGATAGTTAATGCGGCCCTCGGACTGAAAAGTTTGGAGACCCCTGCTCTAGGAGAACACAGGCCATATTCCTCGCCCTATTTCAAATCTACCCATAACCCTAGCATCAAACCTAATCCAATATATAACATATATCTATGTTACTTTAATGAAAATACTGTACTATCCTGATGAATTTTTGTAAGCTATTTTTTGTTTTGCATTATCACCCTAATAAAAACCTTGCTTTTTAAACCTATCCATGGCTTTAATTATAAATCTAACCCTAACCGCTATTAACCTTCACCCTTACTTTCACCCTCACGCAAACGCTAACACACATAACGACAGAACTATACCTGCTATCATATTGTATTGTCCAAGCTTTCATTTTTATTTTAAAGAATCCCTTTACACAAAACTCGACATGAACCCCCATTCAATATGCATTGTATCAATTAGATCAATTACATTTTTTTCCCTGACAACCCCCCCCCCCCCCCTTCCAACAAATCATCCTCATGTTGTATGCTGTGCTGCACGCAAGCCTGGCATCAACGTGTACATAATTGACGTGCTGCCATGGGATGGGAGACTACCCTGTCAGATATCAACCCCTGCACTCATCACTATTCAGGGGAGTTAATCATCGTTAATTCACCGTGGCTTAAATTAACATCTACAGCTTATGTTAATTAAGCTAAATGGCCTTCTGGTTATGTATTAATCTTTTAAATTGTTGTATACTTGTTATATTTAAAAAAAAAATAAATAAGACTTTGTGATATGTTACTTCATTTCTTATTATATGCATGTTCTCCTACAGTAATATTTGAACATAAAGACATAATTAAATTTTCGATTACATCGAAACGTGAACGATTAATGTCCCACTACTTTGATATTCTCAACTGTTTCATAAAGTAAATAAACAAGAAATATATAAATGTTTATCAAATCAATTATTAAATACCCAATTTTATGCTGAAATTTAGTTTAGACGTTATGTTTTTAGTTACTCACTAGGAAATCAATCAACCAATGTTTTCAAAACCTAATCTCACTAGTTGCCAAAGATATGTTAGTAAAAGTAAGGTTTAAATCATAATGTAATTATAAGTAGCACTGTTTATAAAACGTGCTAACACAGAATATTTTGTATGTATAAAATTTCATGTATGTATATGCTCATGTAAACCTGCTCTTGCTGCCTACCCTTGCTCGATTGGGGAAGCAGCAAGAGAGAAACAATTTTTAAAAAAAAGTAAATAAAACACCTAATTTTATTACGGGTCCTGATGGTGAGTTTATGTTGGTGATTTTGTAAGAATAAATAATTAATTGATGGAGACATGCAGGTGGTAAATAACAAAATAAAAATCAATAGAGACAATATTATTAGCATAAATCTGCGTTTTGTGCTATATGCTTTACAATTTTACCTAATCATATTCCCATGCATAGTAGTATTATACATGTATATATATATATATATATATATATATATATATATATATATATATATATATATATATATATATATATATATATATATATGATTAGAGATGAATAATGAGTTCAGAATTTATCGCGTGTCTAATTCATTGGCTATAGATAACCTGCAAACTGGGTCCAAATAAAAAAAAATCCTACCGGACTCTACAATAATATTTTCATTCTTCTCTGCCCAAAATATGAGACATATTTACTGCGATACTAAGTGAGTCTCGTATGAACTGTAAGCGCTAGACTTATTACAGTTTTGAAGTTAGATAAGATTAAGTTAAAACACGCTCTACGTTGTAACAATCATGGTCGCTACGGTACACAGAAAATGTTTCCTATACACAAACTCAGAGAAAACTTGTTGGAACTACAGGTAAAAGTGAAGAATATTTTTTAAAGTAGGGGATGAAATCTAAACCGGAAGTGGCTTCCGCCCGTGGAACCGTAAGTTTTGGATCTACTACCTGGAGCTACAGGTGTCAGGTAAAGCCTGCGGGCACAGGAACCTGTCAGTCAGGTAGAGTTTCTAACATCTGAGAAATTCAGGGAGTTTTAAATGTATCTGGCACCCCAACAGTCCATCGATGTGTTGATAACCAACATCTTTTTTTTTTTTTTTTTTTGAAAAGTGTGACTTTCAAAATTTTAAAGACTGATAAAAAATAATTTGGATAACGTTGGCTTTAAGTTTTAATGGTTATTAGAATAAGTCGCTTTTAGCGTAGTGTTTTTAAAACAGAGTATAAAATACAAAACTACGTTTTGATTAGCTGATATAACCTTAGTTGATATAACCTTAGTTGATATAACTTTAGTTGATATAACCTTAGTTAATATAACATTAGTTGATATAACCTTAATTAATATAACCTTAGTTGATGTAACCTTAGTTAATATAACCTTAGTTAATATAACCTTAGTTGATGTTCGATTGTTTTATATTGGTCGGTAAAGCTCATGGTTGCTTAATCGAAAAGGCCCGAAATCGAACCCCAGGGCAGATGAAACTCGATAGCAGGGTGCAGGAACTGATCAAGTACAGAAAACCCCCAAATCAAAACAACTGTTATCGTATAGTTTGTTCTTGGGTGGACAAAGGCTACGCATAATTAGATGACACGTAATACTAAATTGTGTTGGACGAAATCCCGTCCAACATTACAATTGAAAAGGAAGATAAACATAATCGTGACACACACAAGAGGAAGAAAAGTGGGTGCAAAATCAGGTGAAAATATTTTCAGGTAGAAGCAGTGGCGTAGGCAAGGGGGGGGGGGGGGGTTAGGGGGGGGGGGTCATAACCCCCACCATAGAACCCTCGGTATATATATAAAGTATGAGGGGGGGTGCAAATCGAAAGTTTGAGGGGGGGTGGGGGTGTTCAAATCAAAAGTTTGAGGGAATGGGGGGGGGGGGGGTGCAAATCGAAAGTCTGAGGGGGGGGGGTGCAAATCGAAAGTTTGTCCCCGGGTAAAAATTGGAAGCCCCCCCCCCCATCTTGAGACGATCCTGGCTACGCCACTGGGTGGAAGAGGGGGGAACGGTGAC